GGCATTTCAGCAATAGCCATAAATTTTAGAACACATAGCCCTAAGGATACAGATGTCCCCCTGACTCAGAATTTCCAGGTGGTTGCTCTAGGCGCCAGGCATAGATCACGGACCGAGATTAGCAAGGATGGGCAAGGCAAGCCACAGGGAGTATTTCTCATCCCCAGCATCTCTTAGGGTGACCCCCTAAGATCTTAGGCTGATCGCCGGTGGCTGTGCCTAGCTTAGGTCGCCCCTCCCTTGAGTGGTCTTACCCATCATTGACTAACCAGCCATCTTATGGGGGTCAAGCAGCAATCACAGGAACAATGTGTTTATTGTGTGGCCTCCAGACCCCCACTGCCATGGGGGCAGCTCTTGCTTACTTGCATCTCAGGTCCTTCGTTATGCCTCTAGGCAACAGCCTTGTTTATCACAAGGACCTTGTCCGAAGCATACTGCTTTTAAACGCTCTGGGCAGAACATGTACATTACTTACTAAATTTAATTCTTAAACTAGGAAAATATACGTCAGTCCCCTACACTTGTGGTTCTAGTTACTCGGAGGCTGAAGCAGGAGGACTGCTTGAACCCAGGAGTTCAAGGCTGCAGTGGAGCTATGATCACACCCCTGCACTCTAGCACTCTAGCGCCTGGGCAATAGAGCCAAGACCCTGTCTCAAACAAAAAAAAAAAAAAAGAATTGATAAAAGATCTGAATAGACATTTCTCCAAATAAGATATATAAATGGCCAAGGAGTACACAAAATGATGCTCAACATCATTAGTCATAAGGGGAATGCAAATCAAAACCGCAATGAAATATTATTTCACACCCATGGGATGGCTATAACCAAAAAGTCACGTACAGGCCAGGCACAGTGGCTCACGCCTATAATCCTAGCACTCTAGGAGGCCGAAGCAGGAAGATCACTTGAGGTCAGGAACCAGCCTGGTTCAAAACCAGCCTAAACAAGAGCAAGACCCCTTCTCTACTAAAAATAGAAAGAAATTAATTGACCAACTAATATATATAGAAAAAATTAGCCGGGCATGGTGGTGGCGCATGCCTGTAGTCTCAGGTACTCAGGAGTCTGAGGCAGGAGGATTGCTTGAGCCCAGGAGAATGAGGTTCCTGTGAGCTAGGCTGATGCCACGGCACTTACTCTAGCCTGGGCAAGAAAGAAAGTGAGACTCTGTCTCAAAAAAAACCAAAAAAAAAAAAACCAGCAACCAAGAATTTCTAGTGATACTAACCCCCAGAACTGAATTATCTACCAACTGGAGACCAAGAATTTCTAGTGATACCAACCCCTAGAACTGAATTATCTACCCCAGCACAGCTCAGAAATTTAGGTTGAGGAATTACAAGGAGAGGTATCCAAATGGTCTCTAGCAGTTATCCCTAACCTTTTTGGCACCAGGGACTGGTTTCATTGAAGACAACTTTTCCACAGACAGGTTGTGGTGGAGGGGTGGTCATGGAACAGGAGGCAGAGCTCAATCGGTGATGCCAGCAATGGGGAGCCGCCCACCCACCGCTCACCTCCTGGTGTGCTCACCCCCCCACTCCAAGTTTCATGTAAGACAATTTTTCCACAGATGAAGGGGGAAGGCAGGTACTGGCCTGGGGATTGGAGACCACAGGTCATAAAAACACAGCAAAGGCTCTGAATCACTCACCTCCCTGAACTCTTAAAAAGACTTGGTTATAATGCTGCTCATTTTGCTTCAAATTTAAACAGTTCCATCCCTTAGCTCAGTCTCAATAACAGGACCACAAATTTAATCACCACCTTATACATAACACTAGAATACCCTTATTATCTAGTGAGAAATATATGAGAGTAAATCAAATACCTCAATTGTGTCATTTAATTGGAGAGTAAACTGGATGAAATTAATGTTTCCTATTATTTGATCACATCTTCTGAACACACTGCATTAAAGGCTACATAACAAACACGTCTTCTAAAAATTTCATAGTTCATAAATTTCTAGTAAGAAACATACTAAACATTTTCTCCTTTAAACATTTTTCAACCTATGCTAGGAAGTTTTAATATGTCAGTGAACTAAAGAAAAAATTATTCTAATACTCATCATATCATCTTAAAACTACCCTTTTTTTTTTTTTTTGAGACAGAGTCTCACTTTGTTGCACAGACAAGAGTGAGTGCCGTGGCATCAGCCTAGCTCACAGCAACCTCAAACTCCTGGGCTCAAGCAATCCTACTGCCTCAGCCTCCTGAGTAGCTGGGACTACAGGCATGCGCCACCATACCCAGCTAATTTTATATATATATATATTTTTTTTTTTAGTTGGTCAATTAATTTCTTTCTATTTTTGGTAGAGACAGGGTCTCACTCAGGCTGGTTTTGAATTCCTGACTTCGAGCAATCTGCCTGCCTCGGCCTCCCAGAGTGCTAGGATTACAGGTGTGAGCCACCATGCCCAGCCCTAAAACTACCTCTAATATATAACACCACCTATACCCTCATATGTTTCCTGAGGTAAGAAAGAAAATATCGGATTTCTCTCGAAAAAAGAAAATCCTGGGGGGAAATACTCTGGGCTGCAAGAAGCAAGACTTTCTATTGCACACAGATGTCAAATGGATCATTTTCTCATATTAGCTGTAATAATAGTTAAAGTAGCTTACTTCAAAAATTCCTCTTCTAGGCTTCAAGATATAAATTTAAATATTAATAGTTATTCAAACAAGAAGTAACAGAATAAAATAAATGTTAGAAGACTTAGTCCACAAGTATGGCTTTAATTACCATCTCTATATAGATGACTTACAATTTGAAATCTCCAGCCTAGACCTCTCCTCTAATCTTTAAAACCACACTCATAATCTTAACACCCATCCAACCAATTCCATCACCCCTCCATGGCTACCACCAGCACCATAAATCTGGACAAATATCAGTATTAGCACAACCATTCATACAACAACCTAACACCTGGACACCTCACCCTTCACATTCAATCCATTATTAAGTATAATTATTTTGTCTCTCAAATCAGTCCACTTTTCCCCGTATCCACCGACACTTCCCTATTCCAAAATATTATCATCTTTTGCCTGGCAATGCTGCAATGGTCTCCTAATTAGTACCCCTGACCCATGATTGTGGCTCCCCATCACACCCTGCTGTCACAGCTCCTCTCTACTCTACTACAAAGTGATCTTTCTGAAAAACAAATCTTATCCTATATCTCCTTGTTTAAAACATTTTCAGGGGCCGGGCACAGTGGCTCACGCCTGTAATCCTAGCACTCTGGAAGGCTGAGGAGGGAGGATTGCTCGAGGTCAGGAATTCAAGACCAGCCTGAGCAAGAGCAAGACCCCATCTCTACTAAAAAAATAGAAAGAAACTAGATAGAAAACTAAAAATATATCGAAAAAATTAGCCAGGCATGGTGGCACATGCCGGTAGTCCCAGCTACTCAGGTGGCTGAGGCAGAAGGATTGCTTAAGCCCAGGAGTTTGAGGTTGCTGTGAGATAGGCTGACACCATGGCACTCTCTAGCCTGGGCAACAGAGTGAGACTCTCTCTCAAAAAAAAAAAAAAAAAATTTTTTTTTTTCACTGACTTGCTCAATCTCCAGGCATAAAGCCCATAAATCCTTGGCATAGCACACAAAGCACTGCTGTCTGTGCTCAAAACACTAGCTTCAGGACCCTTGAAAATGCCATGCTTTCTCTAATCAACAGTACCTTCCATGTGCTCCTCCCTCAACAAGAAGGCTCTTTCCCTCCCTTTTGCCTACTTACCCTTAATCTGTCTTCAGATATCAGCTCTATCACAACCTCCTCAAGAAAGCTTCCCCCAGCTCCACTGACTACCCCAGATCACCTCACTTTATAATTTCATAGCATGTTAGCACTTGTCAGTTTTGCATTCACTTATGTGATCATCTGAATTTTGTCTGCCTTTCTGTCTAGACCATGAACACTAGGAAGGCAGGGAACAAAAATATTTGGGATCACCAATGCTTCCTTGGCATCCAGCACAATGTGTAGCACTCAGTGAATGCTTAATAAATATGCTCAATGAATTAAGTACCCACTGGAATATTTACCAGGCAAAACAACTACTGCTCTTTAGTAATCAACAGTCTGCAGCATCACTGTGATGATGCAACTGTTCTATATCTGTACTGTCCAATATTGTGGCCACTAGCCAAGTTTGGAAAAGTGATAAGAACAACAGAGGCACTTAAGTTTTAATTTTATTTTTCACTAATTAAGATGTAAAGAGCCACACATAACTAGTGGCTACTGTATTGAACAGTGCAGGTCTTGCTCCTTTGAAAAGAAGAAATTTTTTTAAAACAGTAAATTAAACACATAGTCATTTTCAAAATGATCTTTGCAGCTCAACACAAAATTGGCTCTTTCTCCACTATGTATTACCTTATATTTTCTAGTTTTCCAGACTGGAACTGCATCACAAGCCTCTTACGTTCCAAGTCCCTCCTATGGGTTGGGAACCCCTTTATTGTCACAAACAAAGGTCCTGAGAAGCACAATCTGCCAGAGCCTCTCAAGACAAACTGATCATGCACTATACATAATCCGCACTATTCCCTCAAGGGGAGACCTACACTTCAGCCAAACTAATCTGATAATTGTTCTCCCAACAAGATAGTCCCTGGGCAACTACTCTCTCCAGGCCTACACCGCTTTTTCCCCTCCTTCAGGGCACAATATGCCCCTCCTCCTCCCGCAGGCGTTTCTTCAACTACACACGCAGGGATTACTGGCTCCTCTGAACACCTGTTGTAGTTCAAAACGCCCAGGGCCCACCGAGATGTCTCTGCCAGAAAGAACGGTGACGTGGAATAGTCTGCTAGCACCCGGGCGGGAGACCGGGCCCCTTACAAGCCTTTAAAGGCGCGTTTTTCATTTGGCGGGCAGCGTGACTGGCGACAAGCAGAGCAGAGCGCTCAGAGCCCACCCGTCAGCCTTGCCCCCAGCGGCCCCTCACCTCTCCCCTGCCCGGCTCACCTTCCCCGGAGAGGGCTGCTCACCCTCCGAGTAGCCGTACTTCGCGGAGGGCGACGGCGGGGGCAAAGGCCCCCCCGGGTGCGCCTGCAGCCAGGCCTTGGCCTCCTCGTCCTCGTCGTCGTCGTCGGTACTCTCCAGATGGTGGTACCCGTAGTTAAAGTCGGAGTCCAACTTCCCCGCTTCCTCCCCCACCTCCCCCACCGCCTCGGCTGCATCCGAGTTCGTGGCCTTCGCCGCCGCCGCCGCCTCCTCCTCCTCCTCCTCCTCCTCCAGCTCGCCGGGCCATGGCAGGTCCTCGGGCTCCATGTTGGTGTCTCGCGCTGAGCGGAGGAGGAGGAGGGGGAGAGGGGAGGGGGACGGGCGGGGAAGGGAAGGGAGCTGACTGGCGGTTGTGGCCGCGCGTAGGCGCCGCGCCGCCCGCCGGGGCGGGGCCGGGAGAGAGCGCGCGGGTTGCTAGGGACGCCCCGCGGGGGCGGGCGGGAAGGCCCGAGGTGGGGGGTTCGCGACAAGCGACGCCACTGCCTGGCCCCCGTCACGGACTGGGACGTCGCTCACACTACTATAAGCTCACAATAAACTTGCTCCGGTTACCTCTCGGGGCGCAAAAGGCCCCTCGCAAGGAGAATCTAGCCCTTGGCTGGAGTTTTGTCCCTGCACTGAGGGGAGATCAAACCCTAGGACAAAGCCATGATAATCATACTTGCAAATTATAAAGTTTTAAAGGTGGAGTACCTTCGTGACAGGCTGTATGGTGGATGCTTGAACCTAACCATGGAAAAGTGTCACTCAACCCCAAAGCTACTTTCAGATTTGTAAAAAAAAAGAAGAGAAAAAAGTGAATTAATATTATAAATATTTTTTTTAAAAAAAGAAAAGTGCCAGGGGGTGAGAGAGGGGTTAAGGCTGGACGCTGGCATCAGAAAGATCGGGGTTTGAATCCTGGCATCACAACTTAAACAGCTGTGTCTGTGAAATGAGGGTAGGCCATCACATAGGATGATTGTGATAATTAAAGGAAACGTACCACCAAGGACTTAATGGTAGGTATTATTTGTTGATTATTGTACAATAACTCACTAAATACAGTTCTGTGAGACAAGTATTACTACCATTTCATGTTACTACCATTTCAAGTATTACTACCACAACTCAGATTCTTGAGGCTCAAAAAAATAACTTGCCCAAACTCTCGTACCAAGAAAATGGATGACTCAATAAACCATACCAGGTCTTCTGGTAGTGCAGTAATTGCCCTTGGCCCAGGATAAAAGATCAAATATTTATACTGATAGTACCTATGTTTTACGGTTAATGATTTTGAAATGCTTTAAAAATAAAGATTTCCTGATCACTTCAGGAACTCCTATAAAAATGAATGGCACATTAAAGAATCTAGAGATGCTTTGCTATTACCTAAGGAAATAGCCATTTATTAAAGACGTCTAGCAAAAATTCTTCATGGTATTACCCACAATCTCAAAGATACACTAACAATGATATTGAACCAACCTTGGTGGGATAATTTTAAGGATATTGCCAAGGATATATCTCCTACGTGGCAATGACCCAATCCTGGCAAAACTATAAGGTAGAACAGGGACTGGAGCCCAAAGCCTTGGAGCTCCATTGAACATCTCTAAATGAACTACGAGGACATTAAGGTTATATTGTTTATCTTAGGGCAGGTTGAGGCTTCCCCTTGCTGGAGAGCTGTGACTGTAATGGTAGAAAAAATGTTCTTGATTTTGGATTCTCAAATGGGAAATCCCATTGTATATCTCCAGTAACAGGAACACACATTTCACTAATATTGTTATTAAATAGTTCCGTGAAGCTTTACCTATTACTTAGAAACTCCAGTATCTTTATCATCTACAAATTTCAAGATAAATAAAGGGAACTAATGGAATTCTAAAAATAGTTATAAAAGCTCTTAGAGGCTGGGCGTTGTGGCTCACGCCTGTAATCCTAGCACTCTGGGAGGCCCAGGCAGGTGGTTCATTAGAGCTCTGGAGTTCGAGACCAGGCTGAGCAAGAGTGAGACCCCCGTCTCTACTAAAAACAGAAAAAAAGTAATTGGACAACAAAAAATATATATATATAAAATTAGCCGGGCATGGTGACTCATGCCTGTAGTCCCATCTACTCAGGAGGCTGAGGCAGAAGGATTGCTTGAGCCCAGGAGTTTGAGATTGCTGTGAGCTAGGCTGATGCCACAGCATTTTAGCCTAGGCAACAACAGAGTGAGACTCTCTCTCAAAAAAAAAAAAAAAAAAAAGCTCTTAGAAACCCTCAGACTTCCAAAGCCCAGAGTACTTTCATTAGCCTTGATGGTAGTAAGATCAATCCATTCTAAGAACCACAACTTAATCTTCTTCTGAGTTAATAACAGATGCCGCAGTATTTAGGAATTACTTACAATACTAGATGCTACCTTACTATAAGCTGCTATCACTAATTGCTGCAGGGTACTCATAGGGTAATTCCTGCTTTATCAACAACAGGTAGAATTTGCATTTCCAAAACATCTAAGCAGCCTCTCCATGATCTGAAATCTAGAGATTTGGTCTTCTGAAAAAGCATCAGACAAAAATTTCCCTTGCATTTCAATGGAAAAGAACTTATCAGGCACTATTAACAATTGAACCAGCAGTAAAACTCCAAGACAGTGATCCTTGGATTCATCTTACCCAACTAAAAAGACATGCATCATTTTCTCCTGGCTACTGGACATCCATTCTATTAGAAGACCTCAAACTGAAGATTCCTGGGACTTCCCCAGAAGCTGCTGACTGCAGAAGTAGGCAGTTTATAATCAAGACAACAGGACAAGATTAATTTACTGATTCTTCAGTGCATCTTTTACCCTATTGTTCTTCAATACCCTTAATTAACTAACAAATTGATTTCTAAATATTATCTCCCTTATCTTCATCCTGCTACTTTTGACTTCCTATGCCCTTCTGCCACTTACAAGAAAACAACACTCTCTGGTGTGTGTTTCTTAAACCATAGGTATTGCACTTAATTTAACTGTTGACAAAATTTAATAGCTGCACTTTTATAGACATCATAAAGTAGATTTTCTTCTAGAGATCACTTCTGGTGCTTAAGCTTTCCTCACATAATTAATCCCAAATTTCAGTCTTATAAAAATCAGACTTTGACCACACTTCAACAAAATGTTTCTCTAAAGTCATTACAACCCTATCAGAAAAACCTTGTCCTTCAGAAATCTAAACTAATATTGGAGCTATTCTTGCTACAATATTCAGGTGGATCTCTTCAGAAACTTTCCAGCCTGCTTTGCAGAAACCTGTTTAACTCCATTCAAGAAACCAGTCTAGGCCAGGTGTGGTGGCTCACACCTGTAATCCTAGCACTCTGGGAGGCCAAGGCAGGCGGATTGCTTCAGGTCAGGAATTTGAAACCAGCCTGAGCAAGAGCGAGACCCCGTCTCTACTAAAAATACAAAGAAATTAATTGGCCAACTAAAATATATATACAAAAAAAAAATTAGCCGGGCACGGTGCCGCATGCCTGTAGTCCCAGCTACTCAAGAGGCTGAGGCAGTAGGGTCGCTTGAATCCAGGAGATTGAGGTTGCTGTGAGCTAGGCTGATGCCATGGCACTCACTCTAGCCTGGGCAACAACGTGAGACTCTGTCTCAAAAAAAAAAAAGAAATCTGTCTAGGCTGGGCGTGGTGCTGCATGCCTATAGTCCCAGCCAGGTACTTGAAAGACTGAGGCAGGAGCATCGCTTTAGCCCAGGAGTTTGAGTTTGCTGCGGGTGAGACTGATGCCATGGCACTCTAGCCTGAGCAACAAAGCAAGGCTCTATTAAGAAAGAAAGAGTGAGAGAACGAAAGAAATCTGTGTATCTTAAGGGAAAGAAGTTGATTCCTTCCTGGTGTGCTAAATAATTCTTTTACTCCCAATATAGTCTGTACCCCACTGGAGTACTACTACTACTTCTAGTAGTACTAATACTACTTCTTTATGTGAACATCAGCTTTGCACCCTTCTACTATGCACCAACTTATCTTGAGTATTTTTGAAGCTTATTCTTAGAAACCCTTCAGTGTTTAAAATTACCACCCCTTCAGTGGATTATGATTATTTGAGAAGAATATCTAGAAACCAACAAAATGAAGCAAGCACAGTCACAGGCCACTTGGGAGAACTGACTCTTCATGTATACTCTCTGAATGAAATTTCCACAACAAAGATAATAGAACTCATAAAGGAGGTCCAAAACTTGTCTCTAACCTTAGCAGACCTCATAAATGGCATAATTTCTACTGTAGAAACTCAACAAACCAGTTAAACTGAATCCATTAGCCAGAGTTTTCATGAACAGTTATACAGCCCTTTACTTCCTCTTAGCTAGCCAGGGGGGAGTTTGTATTTAGCAACACTTACTGTTTCACTTACATATTACAAGGCTAGTAGAACATGACTAGGCTAAAAAAAAAAAGAAAAAAGAAAAGAAAACCTACCAGCCTTTCTAAAATAGGCCCAGCTGGATTCTGGGGCATGTTTTCATTGTCAGGATTTTGGACCGACCCCTGGCTTCAAGACTTATTACAAAGGGAGATAATCGTTTTGTTTCTGGTAATTGCTTTTTCTGCACTTGGTGGATACATCCTGTCCAGACTCCTAAATGTTTCTTCACAGCCATTCTCATACCACATGATTCAACAATTCATCCTATAACAGGAGAAGGAGGGAAGGAGGAATTAACCCTAGTCCAACTACAGACTAAATTCTCCAGATCATCATAAACTCAGCAATTGTAAAAATCTGAATGCGATAGATTCATGTCCTACCGACTGACTCTATCTGCCCTTGACCAAAGTAGGGACTGAGAAGATCAATCTAGGGCATCTGGGAACTGATTAGTTATGACACTAATATCTAAGTATGACACATTAATATGACACTAATATCTAAGCTTCACTGTTGTTAGCAACTGGCCTGGAATTCACAGCTTTGCTATGGCAGTCTCCTATTGAGCATAAACAATCTCACAGAACACCAATATCAAGCAAGACTGTGTGATGTGACTGTGATGAAGCAAGACCAAAAAACAAGACCACTTCATAAGTGTATCTAAGCATAGACATGCCGAACATCCCACTCTGCTAATTTGATTTCTGCTTCTTTTACCAATTATAGCTCTAGTGTAGCCATATACCTCTTTTCTTCTATATAAGATTTATTAAGATGCCCAGTCTTAGAACCACCTCCTCATCTTGACAGCATCCAATGCACAGCAAGCCCTGATTCTTTAAACATTTCCTCCAAATCATCTAACACAAGCCCAAATCCTATAACTCCTAATAACATCCTATTAAGGCGATACCACATGATCCCACA